CAAGATGTGTGGAGCAGTTTTTGTTGATTTTAAGAAAGCATTTGATATGGTAGATCATGATATTTTAATTAACAAACTAATTACCTTAAAAACTAACAACAATTTAGTAAAATTAATAAAGTCATTCTTGTCTGATCGACGACAAGTAGTTTCCTTTGAGAACTGCCTTTCAGATTCCACACAGCTAAACATAGGCGTTCCTCAGGGTTCAATACTAGGACCATTGCTTTTTTGCCACATATATTAATGACCTTCCTTTACATCTTAGCATAACATGTGATCTATTTGCAGATGACTGTACTATATACACTAATCATGAGAATTATGATGAGTTAGGACGTTCATTACAGAATGAACTAGATAAGCTTATTAAATGGAGTAATGCTAATCGCATGCAGATTAACATAACTAAAACTAAATCTATGGTAATAGCAACCAGGCAAAAGTTACAAACATTAGACGTAAACAAGCCTCCACTTGAGCTCCATGTTGACAAATTACCTATTAATAATGTTAATGAACATAAAACATTAGGCGTTACAATTGACAGCAATTTAACTTGGTGTTCTCATGTTCATGCCATAACCAAGAAAGTAGCACAAAAAGTCTATCAGTTAGCCAAAATTCAGCACTTTCTGGATCAGAGTACAAGAAAAATATTTTATGTATCCTACATTCAAGCCCATATCGACTATTGTTCCACGGTTTGGGATGGCTGCTCCAAATCCAACTTAAAACGACTGTGTTCTCTACAAAATCGCGCTTTACACCTAGTTTCGGATAGAAAACATACCGATAAAAATCATCTCTATAGCCAGTTAAGAATTCTCCCATTTAAGAAACGATTAATTTTTAATAAAGCCAAATTTATTCATAAAATTTTAGCTCAGAACACTGCAGATTATCTTTTCCAGTTGATTCAACCCAACCCTTATACCAGCAAACGGCTAAATTTATTGCATTTGCCGAAGCCTAGATTAGATCTATATAAATCAAGTTTTTCATATTCTGCTGCTCATTTATGGAATCACCTCCCACTCGATCTGAAAAATATGAGTATGTACTCGTTTAACAGCAGTCTTTTTAAATTCATGCTTACTAGTGATTATAGGCCACCATAGATGAAGTTAATAATTCACATGTATTATCACCTTGTATTATATGTGTGTATTATGTGGGTGGGTGTGTGTAATTGTTAGTGTGTATGTATATATGTGGATATATGTCTGCATTTTTAGGTTTGTGAGTATGTGTGTGTATTTATGTATGTGTATTTATGTATGTAGGTTGTAAATATATGGGTGTATGTGTGATTGTATATGAGTGTGATTGTGTGTGTGTCTGTATTATGTATGCATGTATGTATGTATGCAGGCATATATAAGTGAATGTTTGTATGAGGGTGTCTGTTTGTGTGATTAGTTATGTGTGTATGCATGCATATGTGTTTATGTATGTTATGTGTGTGTATGTATGCACGTATGTGTGTTTGTATGCATGTTGGTGGATGTATGTATGTATCTGTGTAAGTATGTGTGTGAATTTATGTGTGTTTGCAAGTATGTATGTATGCTTGTAAGTATGTGAGTGTATGTATGGATGTGTGTATGTATGCATGTGTGTGTGTGTGTGCGCGCGCATGTCTGTCTATGTAAATGTGTGTTTATGTTCATATGTCGATGTATGTTTGTATTATGTATGCATGCAGATTTAGCTTATGTATGTACACATGTGTATGTGTGCGTATATGTATGTAGGTGCATGTATGTATTATGTATGACTGTATGTATGAGAATGTATGAATGTAAATGTGTAAGTATGTGATTGTATCTGTGTGTGTATATTTATGTATAATGTGGGTGTATGCAGGTATATGTAGCTGTGTAGGTATGTGGGTGTTTGTGTATTTATAAAAAGCATACAAGTGTGCATGTGTGTGTGATTGTGTGTGTATGCATGTGGATATATGAAAGTATATTTAGGTATGTAAGTATGTGTGTAAAGATGTGAGTTTAGGTATAAATGTGTGGATATATGTATGCATGTGTGTGGGTGTATGTATTCATGTAAGTGTAAATGTGTGGTTTTGGGCATATGTTGGTGTCTGTACATGTAATGGTATATGTGTGTATGCATGGGTGCATGTATAGATGTGTATATATGGAATGCGTGTGTGCATGTATATCCATAAATGTAAGTGTGTGTGTTTTCTGTTTGTGCATTTATTTCTGTGTATGTGTATGCTTGTATATGTATGTAGATGCAGATGTGTATGTATCACGTATGTCTGTATATGAGTTCACCAGTATGAAAATGTAGATGTATGTATACGTGTGTGGGAGTGTGTATGATGGCGTACACACGATGTGTGAATGCATTATATATTTCTTTTTAAATCCATAACATGCATTATTGATAACAGGTATTAGTACTCTGAAAAATGAGTACTTAGAAGGGCCGAAAATGTCAGACGGGCCTGCGTGCCCAATTTGTAACCCTTTGAAAATAAAGTTTGTTCGTTCGTTCGTTCGTTCGTTCGTAATCTATCTATCTATCTATCTATCTATCTATCTATCTATCTATCTATCTATCTATCTATCTATCTATCTATCTATCTATCTATATTATCTATCTATCTATCTATCTATCTATCTATCTATCTATCTATCTATCTATCTATCTATCTATCTATCTATCTATCTATCTATCTATCTATCTATCTATCTATCATCTATCTATCTATCTATCTATCTATCTATCTATCTATCTATCTATCTATCTATCTATCTATCTATATATCTATCTATCTATCTATCTATCTATCTATCTATCTATCTATCTGTCTATCTGTCTATCTGTCTATCTATCTGTCTATCTGTCTATCTGTCTGTCTGTCTATCTGTCTGTCTGTCTGTCTGTCTGTCTGTCTGTCTGTCTGTCTGTCTGTCTGTCTGTCTGTCTGTCTGTCTGTCTGTCTGTCTGTCTGTCTGTCTGTCTGTCTGTCTGTCTGTCTGTCTGTCTGTCTGTCTGTCTGTCAGACATAATCAGCTGTCTTCTGTCTGTCTGTCTGTCTGTCTGTCTATCTGTCTGTCTGTCTGTCACTGTCTGTCTGTCTGCTGTCTGACTGTATGTCTGTCTCTGTCTGTCTGTCTTTTCTGTCTGTCTGTCTGTCCTGCACATAATCAGCTACTTCAAGATGTTACATCATTACAGTGTACAGGTGTCAAAGACATGAGTTGAAAATATTGTGTGTTAACGAATCGATTGAACAATTATGGCGTATTCATCACTGGGGAGAATAAATATTCAAAAAAATGTTCTAAACAAAAAAACAAACAAAAAACAATACTGCACCAGCGATGCCGTTAAAAAATTCCTCTTATGACACAGTCATGACCAAAAAGACTAATAACGTATATTAGGGATTTGACTTAGAAAGCTAAGTTAATCTGTGTCAAACAAAGATGCTTATCATAACATTTTGGCTAACGCTGTGCTATCAGTGCCAAACGTGGACACTCACATCCTCCAATGAACGTAACATTGTGACAACAGAGATGAAATGCCTTAGAAGAGCTGCAGGAGTTTTAAGGAAAGACAGAATACGAAATCAGACGTCTGCTTTACTACATCGGATGATAATTTCTTCGTCATTTGGTCCATATAGGTCTTCTTTGGGGTTGTAACTTGTTCGAATAATATTTGAGATCATTTAAAAAAACAAGAAATATGCATTTATACTTATTGATCGGCACTTATAGAAGTAGATAACAGAATTAATCTTCTTTAAAGCGTTCACTTGCGGGAAGTTAGGTCTATTTCTGGACGTTGGTCTTGTTCCAAAAATTGGGGTTTGCATGAATATCATTTCTATAGATCTTGCTTATTTGTATGCAGACTCGTTTCTGGTCTCTCAGACATATTTACTGCGGCTTCGATGGAAACTTCCATAATTAGTCGCCTTGCATGCATTTCAAGGAAACTGTGGGTCTATACCACCCCCCCCCCACCCTCCATCCCTACCCCCGATTGGGGCATCGAAACCCACACGGGAGATAGAAGAATTGAATTAGTATCCTTTCGTCAAGTTCTTCATTATCATGTAGCAGGTCTTTCACAGAATATCGCTCCTATCACAACCTGAATGAGAGAAACTCTGTCTTTCGCCATCTCTCCAGCCGCCTGAAGTGACCTACACATGATGAGTCTTGTGCCCTGTCCCTGTCTTTGTGCTGGTTGTTTTCCTGTCCTTCTTACCTAAACAAGGCCACCCACTATTGTTCTTTCCAAACCACCAAAACGTTTAATATGGCTAATGCGTTTCGGCTTCCCAGACACCAGATAAGGGTTAAAGTAGCACGATAAGTAGATGCAGATAAAGTAGATGCGATTTCTGTAACCAAGATGTTGTTTCAATGGTTATACAAAAGTTACTTGTATATGTCCTTCTTACCTAAACAAGGCCACCCACTATTGTTCTTTCCAAACCACCAAAACGTTTAATATGGCTAATGCGTTTCGGCTTCCCAGACACCAGATAAGGGTTAAAGTAGCACGATAAGTAGATGCAGATAAAGTAGATGCGATTTCTGTAACCAAGATGTTGTTTCAATGGTTATACAAAAGTTACTTGTATATACTTGAGTTGTTTGCTCAGCTCTGTGAAAGATCTAACAATGATGAGATCTTTGTAAAGAATATCGAGTTGGCCTACGTCGTAGTACACTTGTTATTCCAGCGAGACGAGTTGTCCTTTGCAGACAGTCTGAAATCTCTTCATGCTAATTTAAACCTCCGATTTTCTTCTTGTATAAAATGTCTTATGTCTTTTTTTTTTCACTTTTGAATCTAAGAGTCACAATCAATATATGTCAGTTTACTTATTAAGATTTTTTAATGGCCGTAACAAATTCAGCAGCTATGGAAATTTTTAGGTTTATGCACAGTTTTTATAAGATACAGACATTAAAAAAAAACCCCAGATTAACAGTATTTTCTGATCACAGAAATGTCATCTGTTTAGTGCCGATGTCTGTAAAACTGTTTCTATATGAGCTGTTCGCAAGCTGGGTTTGAGAAACCACTCGACTTCCTTCACAGTTGACTAAAGCTGCACCGTTAGATACAAATGTTGAATACATCGATAAAGATTTCGCCAACGGCTTGTTTTGAGGATCTTGACTGCGCTTCTGGCTTGAAGTATTGAAGCCATTTTGGTTTGCAGTTTGACTGATACCAGATGACTTTGAGGTTCTATGCCACGAGCTCTGGGGTCTTGAGCTTCTAAAGATGTTGCTGTTTTGTCTCCGAAATTTATGTCTTTGCCAAGATCGGCGAATTTCGGTATGGACCTAGCAGAAGAATATGAATAAAATATATAAGAAATTCTCGTTAAACAGTTACTGTTAAACAATTTGCAAATAGCATGTGAATTGTGAATTTATCTTTGTCCCACGAGTGTCATATGCTACAATAAATGAGGAAAACATTGTGTGGACAGCACCTGATTAACTAAATGGACAGATTTGTTTCTTTTTAAACTCCTCCTCCGCCTCCATCTTCTCCTCCTCCTTCACCTTCATCTTTAATTTCCTGCTTATCATCTTTTGCTGCTTCCTCTTATCTGCTTTACCTTTTGCTTCCCACACACGAAAACTTCAGATTTGAGTTATATAAAGAAATCAGTTATTTTGAGGTTCTAACTTGACAACCTACAGGCCACCTCATAACTGTTCCGTTTCTGTGCCCAAAAAAAAGGGAGTGGGGGAGAAAGAGATGCCCTTCACTGTCCCATTTAAAAACTAGTGAAAAACAGATAGGTCCCAGCATAATCCAGAAGCTCACACACGCAAAGTAAATGCATAAGGCAGCAGTCAGATGTCCCAACACTAACGGTATCTCATTAAAAATGTCCTACTAATATAATGGGCTATGCAAAATGTCCTCTGCTATGCGAATGTGTAACGTTCTTCTGGCCAGTTCTTAGCTCTCACATTCTTTTATGACCAATTCCAAAGTTGCAATAATCTTTCTTCCACACTGTTCTCAGTCATTCTTTTGCAATTTGCAAATTTGCATTCATCAGTATCTGTAATCTTAAGTGTATAAAATAACCGACATTTAGGCGTGTATGCTATGTTTCTCTGCGTCTGCGGTTATGAACGCAGTTTATAATTCCCAATATCGGATTCGATTCAAAGGAACTAGGCTAGAAGAGCAGAATTTTAGACGAGTCTGCATGATCAGTTCTCAATCCTTCGAAAAAAATATTTGATGTGTTTGTTGATGTTTGTTCGTTCATTTTGATAAATATGATTTTTGAAGCAATAGCGAAACGCATAAATATCCAACAAATTTTATGAATATCATAGCTGATAATAATAATATGACCATGTTTTTCAAAAGAGATGCAAAAGATAACATCCTGACGATTTAAAAAATCAAAACTTTAAGGTTCAGAGACAGACTTAAAGAAATAAGATGTTCGATGTCAGCTAACAACAACAACAACAAAAAAAACAAAAAAAAAAACCAAAACAGTAAAGGAAAACAGTTTACGAAAAAAAAGTAAACAACAATAGTAAACAAAAATAGCATGCAAAAAGAGAAAAATAAACAGTAAACAAAAGTAAATAATTGTACGCCAGTGGCACATTAGGCTCAAGATGGAAGGCTCCTATTTGTATAAACAGGTCAGTACTCGGTGGGTTATGAGGTCAAAATCACGCCGGCCACCTTTACCTCCTATGACATCTGGTACTACAGTTTAGGCATCTGTTGACGCGGATTCAAACCCTAAAATTGTCAGACCAGTAGGCGAGTGTCCAATCGCTGCTCTACCACGGCTACCTCTATGGCAGTGACATAGAAGATTTACAAAACAATTGATCCAGAGCAACACGGTCGGAGATCGGTGCAGAAACTTGCACACCTAGGTCTTCTGACAAAGGATGCGGTTTGTCTAGCAGAGCGCTCAGAGAGCTTTACCATAAATATTTCATCAGGTTTGAACGAAACTGGAGATATGTAGAGGAATGTCGAATGTTGATTTGATTTGATTTGATTCAAGAACTGACATCACAGCACTCAGGGCATTCCCACAAGCGCTCCGTCCCAATCTTCAGCAGCCAGCTAAGAGTTCCGATACTAAAAGCGCAAGTAGCATTCTGATTAAACGTCTGTCTTGTCTTCCCTCTGAGTCTCGAGCATCTGCCAGAACCTCTCGTCACTCCCCGCTGCATTAATCTCACCAGACTGTGGTGATCCATCTGCTCCTCCGAACTGTACACGCTCTCCCACAAGGCACTAACCACGTCTGCCTTATCATCTATCAGTATTCCACCAAGTTGTGCAGTGCCAGCAAGTCTGTCCGCCTGTTCATTTTCCAACACACCGGCGTGACAGGGTGAAAAAATCCAGACAATACTCTTCACCCGAGTCCTCCGCAACGAAACATGCCACTCTGCACCAAGCATACCTGTTCTGATCTTCCTCAGCATGCTCTCTGAAATCAGTTACAATCACGATGTGTGTGTGTCGTGATCTCTAGCCAGCGGAAGGCTGCAGTGACCGCCTCCACCTCCATTCTTAAGCTGGATGTTGTGGTATCATATGCAAGGCTCTCCTGCACCAAACGTCGACCATTAACTTTTGCTAAGAAGCCCCAAGCACTTCCTTTGCCTCTTGACACTGAACCGTCTGTGTAAATGATCAAATCCTCTGAGCGAGCTTTATCTTGAATAATTTGCTGAATTTCCACCTCTGTGGCACCCGCTGGCCAGTCTCTGCATTCCCGGCTCAGCGTGATTTTGACTTTACATAAGTCTGATTTTTCAGGTGTCACTTTGACCCACTCCTTTCCTTGCCTTATGTTCTCAAGGATGCAAACCTGTTTGATTGTGTCTTCTGCCTGAGCCATCCACGACCTCCCTCTTATCAGCCGCTGACCCTTAACTGCACCAAGAGCTTCATGCAGAGGGTGGTCTGTGTCTGCAGCTACCCTGAGATATGACTTCGCCTGCAGCACCTTGTGCCTACCTGCAACCGTCGGGAAACCAAGGATGTATACTCCCCACTGGGGTGACTCTGGTGCAACCCAGAATGACCCGCAAAGCCTCGTTCTGAATGCGCTCTAGTTTGTCCATCCGACTCTTTGAGACGGTAAGCATTCCGAAGCCATAATCAACCACTGACAGGATCAGGTGCTGAATTTTGAATTAAGAATCGACATCATGGTACTCGGGACACTCGCATAAGCGTTATCTCCTCATCTTCAGCAGCAAGCGAGGAGTTCCAGTTACGGTCGTTCCAGTAACTGTCTGTATTGCCATCTTGTGTTTCCCCCTGACTGCTGAGCGTCAATCAGATCCCATGGTAGCTTTTCGCAGTCCCATTCTCCTTAGACCATAATGATCTGTTTGTGCGTCCGCACTGTTCACTGGCTCAAAAAGTGCCTTCCCAACATCTTGCTAGTCATACATCACTTCACCACAAAGTGGTGTAGAATTGGCCACTCTATATGCCTGCTCGTTTTCCAACACACCGGCAGTACCTAGAGAAAATATCGAAAGGACTCTCTGGAACCTCTATTGCGATGCTTGCCACTCTGCACGGAGCATGCACGTTTCCACCCTTCTCAACATGCTCTGTGATTCAGTTACAATTACGACATGTGTGTACAGCTGATTCTCAAGCGGAAGGCAGCAGTCAATTCCTGCAGCTCCATTCTCAAACTAGATGTGATATCGTATGTCAGACTTTGGTGCACTTAGCGACGTCCATACGTTTTTGCTAGGAGTTCCTAAGTACTTCGTCTGCCTCTCAACACAGAGCGATCTGTATGGATAATCACATCACCGGGGAGGGAATTGTGGTGAATCATTTGGTGAACTTCTGATAATGCAAAACCAGCTGACCAGTTCCTGCACTCTCGACCTAAAGTGATGAGAACCCTAAACAAATATGATTCTTGGTCAGACGCATACCAACTCAGCTTCTCGCCCAAATTTATCAAGCCTGCAGACATATCTAACTGTGTCATCAGCTTGCGCCAAGACATTCCTCTTTTTTAGTCTGTGAGCCTTGGCTCTACCAAGAGCTTCATGCAGGAGGTGTTTCTTTTTGTTAGCTACTTTGAGGCTTGACTTTGCTTGCAGATCTTAGAACCTTTTTGAAATAGTAGAAAGTGAAAGTATATATAACATACACGCTACCGGGATATCTATGATACATCTCAGAGTTACCCGCATGGCTTCATTCTGTATGCGTTTAAGTTTAATCAGCTGACTTGTTGATATAGTAAGCATTCTAAGTCCATAACCTGTCACCGATAGGATCACATGCTGAAACATTCTGAACAGCATTCTTAGTTCCATGTCCATTGCTGCCATAATTTTGAGAGCATTGACTCCTTTCGGGCATTCTACCGCAACTTTCTCCACATGATCCCTGAGGCACAGGCTTTTATGGAGATACCCAGGTACCTCAGTTTGCTTTCTCGTTTGATGTTTCTGTCATTACTTGTGAGGCCTGGAAAATAAACTCTTAAATTATATTGGCAGAGTGCACCATTAAATAGCCGTCTTTTTTGAGTTGATAACATCGCCCATCTCTGCACACCAGTCAGTCACTTTGTCTACAGTTGCCTATACCTCTTCGACTGTCTGTTGCCTATCGCTTCCAAGCTTTTATGCAAAGAACATCATCTCCAAATGTCACTGTCTTTCCAAAACCTGCTGTTTTTAAGTTCTGCCATCGGGCCTGCATTTAAGAGCACTGGTGAAATTGCAGAACCTAGGGGTAGTCCAGGGGAGATAACACATCGTTCTGATGTCCATGTACCCATGTCGAAAAAATAGCAAACTAAATAATTATTGTGTTATTTTACCTTTGTAAACATATTAAATTATTGATATCACCTTCACAAATAAAAAAAAACTATAGTATTTTTTTTTTTTTTTTTTTTTTTGAAAAAGGTACTTACATCTTCATTCAGAAAACAGAACAGCAGAGCCAGTATGAATCCCTGAATTGATAAATACACAATAAAATGTATGCATGAGTAACCATTAAATAACAAAAAACCCAGACACAGCATTAACGATTTCGAACCAAGTCCTACATAAACATCTAAGGAATAAATATCAGAGGCAGTGTAGAAATTCCTGATGCTGTTTGAAAATGTTATTAGCCAACAGCCCTTTGATCTAAATTGCTGCAATTTTATGTATAAACATTTTTGCCTTGTATACGTGGAAGGTTTGTAAGATACATTTCAAATCTTGTTTTCTGATTGATTTCTGTTTATTATTTAAAAACTCATCTTGTATTCTGTTTGATTTATGTTTGGTATATCTTCTTCTTTTTCTTCTTCTTCTTCTTCTTCTTCTTCTTCTTCTTCTTCTTCTTCTTCTTCTTCTTCTTCTTCTTCTTCTTCTTCTTCTTCTTCTTCTTCTTCTTCTTCTTCTTCTTCTTCTTCTTCTTCTTCTTCTTCTTCTTCTTCTTCTTCTTCTTCTTCTTCTTCTTCTGCTTCTTTTTTTTTCTTTGCGTTCACCGGCTGTAAACCCCGGAGGAAAGTTCTGGTTGTTCATCCACCTCTGGAATTAAGACTTGTTCCAGAACCTGAGGGTTGTGTGCACATCGGTTTTAAGATCAGTCTTATTTGTATGCAGACTGTTCGCTCCTTTCCTTTCAGATGCACTCTGACTTCGAAAGAAACCCCCAATAAGTCGACTCTTACGACATTCTTGTTGGAGAGTCAGTGGGTCTGTTCTTGTTGTTTTTATCTCCACAATACAGACCTGGAACCCATACGAAGAAAGTGTTTAGTATATGAAAACTATAAGTGGATAACACTGTTATATACCGACTTGGTGGCTTTCTGTCGGAATCTTTCTTAAGGTCAGGAATATTTTTTCAAGAGCCTCAGTCAGAAGTTAAGTAGTTTACCCCTTTGCTGAAGGTTCTGATTTGGACTCCATCCTTTGGCTCAAGGGTGTAGGCGTGCCAACAGCAAAGACACCGGGCTGTCTGGGATAATAACCGATTCAATGAAGGTAAAAGGTAAAGTCGGGAGATGTGAATCAGCGGCATTGCACAAGGTTATAAACCATATGTGCTCTCTCACCAGTACAGACAGCTGATAAGAAACTGTCCGCCTGTGTCGCTGTCCGCAAAAACTCCGTAGCTACAGCGACGTTGCTCCATTCTAGTTAATACTAAACTAAACATTTTTAATTCTAATGTCAAATCAGTACTTTTGAATGGGTCGGAAACACGGAGAACAACTAAGGCAATTATTAATAAATTACAGACATTTATTAACTAGTGCCTGCGCTAAATTGGAGGACTTAAATGGTATGATAAAATAACTAATGTAGAACTTTGGGAGAAAACTAAACAGGCTCCAGTGGACCAACAGGTGAGGAAAAGACGCTGGCGTTGGTTAGGACACAAATGAGAAAACAGGAGAACAGCATAACTAAAATGTCTTTGCATTTGAACCCACAGGGGCATATGAAAAAAGGAAGGCCAAAAAAAAAAAAAAAAAAACACGGAGAAGAGAGCTGGAGAATGAAGTTAGAAAGATGGGGAGGACATGGGGAGATCTTCATGTAATGGCGAAGGATAGAACGACTTGGCGTGAGTTGGTTGAGGGCCTATTCTCCATTGGGGGATAGAAAGGCAGAAGAGAGGAAGAGTTAATTTGGTACCAATTTCCTAGAGGCTGGGTGAAGCCCGGAAACAGTTCTGTTTCGAACAATTGCTGTAGGCTGCAGCAAGTCGCACGCTGGATTTGAAAGCGAGTCTCTTATCGACTGCGCTAACGCGGCCCCTGATGATACAATGAGACTGAGATACAATGAAGTCGACATATTTGTATTCAAATTCCGTTTAAATGAGCGAGAACTAATTCTTGAGTTGTGTAACCATAATCCAGGCATTTCCAGTACTGTGATTCGTTCCGCTCTGTGCACGGCTAAAAATCCGTTCTCATGATTTCGGGCAATGGTACGAGAGCCGCACCGTCGAATGGATTGGGGCCTCATCGCGTAATATTCCCAAAGAGAACAGTAATAAACTGTAGCCAACCTTCACTGTGGAGACGGCACCGAACTTTTTTTAAAAATTCCAGTTAATAGCTAAAAGTTAGTTACGTATCATTTAGAGAACGTCGTAGAACCAACCCCAGCATTTTTTGGCTGTTGGTGTTTTTATAGGCAAATTTGACGCTCAGTAGTTTGCAACTGCTTTCTGATGGGTCAGCTCTCGGTACCACTGTCGAAACCAACGCAAGACAAAACGTCCGCAGCTGGATTCGAACCCAGCACCCCGACATTACAAAGCCTAAGCCACAGACGGCGACGAATAATAGACATCTTGTTGATATTACACTATGACCGTATGCTTTCGATTTTGCAGACAATATTGTGCTGCTAAGTAGGAACAGCAATGACAAGCAAAGAAGAACAAAGGACAAAAATAGCATCAATAGTTGGACTACAAATAAGTTATGAATAGACAAACATATTAAAGACAACAATAACAAGTATTTAAATGGTAAACAAACGGACTGAAATAAGGATGCCAAGAAGAAACCCTATAACAAACGCTGATGAGAGAGGCCAAAGGTACCGGACTGGATTCTATCCTTGATATTAAAGTGATTGCACAGAATAAAGCGGAATAGGAAAGTAGACTGCGAGCTCCATGTGACATATAATAGCACAGCAGGACAACGAATGAATGACACGGTACTTCCACAATAGCCTAGACACACTTTGTAAGTATTTCAATTTCGTACATTTACAATGTGATAATGCACGACCGACGCGCACCTAGTAATGTCTAATAGCCCAATTTAAGCGGCATTTCAGCTTAGCCAACATTAAAAAATATTGGAAGAAGCCAAGGTGTAATAGAAAATGGCGTTAGAAAATGTGAATGAGATAAAAGAATTAGGGGTGCCCGCGGGCGTAGAAAACTTAGCTGCTCTATTATGACAAATCACCTACCCATATTTCACAAAAGATTTGATTTTCACATAAGAAATTGAACAATAGCCAAAATTGAGCTTATATTTATCGTCTGGTATCGTGGCTATATTATCGTTTTTCTATTAAGGTATGCATTTTATTTGTCAAAATGTAAATTGGATTGATGGTTGACTTAGGTTAAAATAGGTACCGGGCTAACTTCTGGCAAGTAAACACAACTGACATTATATAATCACGACACCAGTATCTGGGAGCTGGGTGGTCTCGAGGCATGACCAAGTTACTTTCAGGCAGGCTGTGATGGAAGCGATTTCAGCACAGAGCTAATCACAGCTGTTGTACGCTGCTGGATTTGGCGAGGAGGGAATTCGAACTCTTGTGGACTTAATGGTTCTTTGTGAAATTACGAATGATCTGTCAACTAACTAACGTGTATACTTCCTTAAGTGTACCAAGTTTACATTCTTAATTCCATATTCCATAGACCAATGGGCAGTAGATAAGTGCTGTTGGAGGTTTGAGGTTTAAACAACGGATCAACCACATGGCACACGGGTAGTAACACAAAGGTACTCAGTTTTTCTTCTAACTCAAGTCTGAGCCCGAATAAATGCAGCACAGTGCACAGGCTCTGTATCACAGGCGAGGATCGTGAAATACTTTGGGTAGATTTTTTAACCCAAAATTTTTGCCAAGGCAGAGCCGTTATCCTTCTCTTTATGAGTTCCAACTACCAAGGGATTTTTTTACGGGCGCAACAATGCACACGGGCGTCCGATCTCACTACCCAGAGACCAGGGGGAATTACTAGAAGTTTAAGTTCAAGTGAAAAAATTCCAACCCTTACCGGGGATTTGATCCGCAACCTCTAGCACTCGAGGCGGACACCATGCCACGAGATCACGCAGCTCCCCTCTACCTTTGCCTGTATATACCAAACACTGTCCAACTCCAGACTATCATTAAGGCAATACTAATGTCCTTTGAAAACAAAATTTCTTTTTTTAAATCATGACTTTTTACATTAACGCCCCCCCCCCCCCCCCCCCAGTTATAATTTAATTTTGGTGGAGACTTTTTAAAAGACCAGTGGCATCTGATGTTATGTAATTGGTTTTCCAATTATCCATAATAACCGGCGCCACCAGCATTTGACTATCATATCTTCATCATTGTTTGTTTCGGGTTTCTTGTTATAGCATTATGTGTAGGAGGTTACAGACTTCAGTCACGGTGACATTGTTCAGTCAAAGTTCATTATCATCAACCGGCTTACACAATTTGTTCCTTCAAAATATTTATATTTTATTTTTGCACCGTATTTCACTCCTTTATATCATCATTATCGTCATCATCTTCATCATCATCTTTATCATCATCATCGTCATCATCATCACCACCATCGTCATCGTTATCATTATCTTTTCTTCCCATTATATGCCACAGAGGGCTTGCATTCTAGTCCTCTATTCTGTTCCATTCTGAGCAATCTCTTCGATATCATGGAAGCTGCTCGTTTCTTTGCATGATCTCTGCAGTGTAGAGCCACCTTATTTGCCTTATAACCGTTGTTAGCAGAGGTCACCGAGATACTTCTGTTATTTCTGCATTTAGCTTTTGGTCCATGTCTTCGGTGGTTCTCCAGCTTATATCATCCTATGTTACGGTATCTTAAACCAGCTTTCTTTAAACGACTTCACAAGGTAGTTTGGCTGCAGTCTATCTGTTATCTTCAAGAATTTTGCGGGGCAAGGACATAGGCCCTATCGCGCTTTAACCCTTTTACTACACCCCAAAACCCCGGAAAACGGTCTTCTTATAAACTATCCGCGAAGAATAAAGAACCCTGTACTGGAGAATGTCTTTGCACTGGAATCCCCAAGAAACAGAAATAAAATACCCCCACTCCCTTTTTTAACGAAACAAAAAAAAAAAAAAAAACTCAGACACACACACATATTTAAAAGAGAGCTAGAGAGTGAAGTTAAAAAAGATGGGGATGACATGGGGTGAGCTGCATACAGTAGCA